CACCACTCCAGACTACCTCAACCCATTTTGCCAGCGCTTTCTTCACTACTGATGAGAAGCCAAAGGGAGAATTAGGAAAGTTAATCACTACAGAGTTAGCAAATCGAGCGACTATGCACTGTGTCAAAGCCCTGGCAACAAAGGAAGCACAAGATGGCGACAATATAGAGAATAACGTTGAAGAAACGATTGATACAAGCACCTACGTTTCGGCAAGCCGATACTCCGAAGAAACATGGCAAGGTATTCTCATTGACACCGGCGCTGCAGACTTCTCTACAGCCGGATACAGTCAATTCCTCGCATATCAGAAAGCTGTCAAGGGAGCTGTAATAGACACGTCAACCGCAAATTCAGTAGGGATCAAATTTGGCTCAGGCGATCCTGTACGCTCAAAAGGCTCAGTCGATGTTGACACACCAATTGGCCGAGTCCGATTCCATATCCTCGAAACAATGACACCGTTCCTGCTCTCTATCAAAGACCTGGACAGACTGAACGTGTATTACGACAACACCAAAGATCTTCTCATTGGCCCAAAAGAGAATATGACTACCCAGGTTATACGAAGATTTGGCCATCCATTCCTTATATGGCAGGAGACCTACGAATCATGTCTCCTGGAATCACTTGATGAGAATCCCTGCTTCCTCACAGAAGCAGAATTACGGCGCCTACACCGTCGATTCGGTCATCCCTCAACTGACAGATTCTACCGCGTTATCGAGCGCGCAGGCCACGACGCTGACCGTGAAGCAATCGAGCATATTCGCAAATTCTGTCATCACTGCCAAATCCATGGTAAATCTCCTGGCCGTTTCCGCTTTACGTTGCAAGACGATATACATTTCAACCATTCAATTATTGTTGATATTATGTATATTGATGGTAAACCTGTACTTCATATTATCGACGAAGCAACACGTTTTAACGCCGCACGTTGGCTCCCTAATATATCTTCAAGTGCAACATGGGATGCCCTACGTGTTGCCTGGATTGATACGTACCTAGGACCACCAGATCTCATTGCAACTGACGCTGGAAAGAACTTTGTGAGTAAGGAATTCTCACAGCTCGCGACATCTATTGGCACCACTGTCAAGAGCGTTCCTATTGAAGCTCATTGGTCAATTGGCATGGTTGAACGCTACCACGCCGTACTACGTCGCGCCTATACCATCATCTCCGACGAATTGCCAGATCTACACCCCGATATGGCACTACAAATGGCCGTAAAATCTGTCAACGATACTGCCGGCCCCAACGGCCTCGTACCCACGCTTCTCGTATTTGGTGCCTACCCACGACTTACGCAAAACGACGCACCAGCAATATCAGTTGAACAACGTGCTACTGCACTCAAGAAAGCAACTGCTGAGGTACGAAAATTGTACGCACAACGACAAGTAAGAGATGCACTCAATACCCGTAACGGCCCGTCAACTACGGTGATCCATTCGCTACCACTCAACTCGAACGTCCTTGTATTCAGAGAAGGAAATACTGGCTATGCTGGAAAATGGGAAGGCCCATACAAACTAGTAGAAGTCAATAACGAGACCTGCACAGTCGCACTTCCAAGTGGCCCAACTCAATTCCGCTCAACCGTTGTAAAGCCATACTATGCCGAGGACATGCCACCTGAGGATATTGCCACTACTCTAGACCATGATAACGCACCTGAACCCCCAACACAAGGAAATGCACTCCTACCGCCATCGACTGTCAAAATCCCCTCTCAACGACCGCAGCGCAACCGTCAACCATCCGCTCGATACCGAGATGACGATTTCGAAGCATATATCAACAATAAGGAGATTACTCAACCTCGAGCTAACTTTGACGAGGTATTGGAACAAACAAGATTTACTGACTCACGCAAGCAAGAGGTGGATGGCCTATTGGAGAGAGGTGTCTTCCACTTCGTGCATGAGAATGAAGTTCCCAAAGGTGAACGTATTTTCAACTCACGATTTGTGGATGAGATGAAGAATTCTGGCACCGACAAGGCCTTTGAAAAATCGCGACTTGTTGTGCAGGCTTACAATGACGAAGGGAAGGACTTCATATTGACTGAATCACCAACTATACAACGCTGCAGTCAGCGCCTGATTCTATGCCTGACTGCCTGTATGGTTACTCACTCCCTATGGCTACGAGACGTTGTTCAAGCGTATATTCAATCGCAAACGTATCTTAACCGTGATATCTTCGTACGACCGCCACTAGAACTCGCCATCCTCCTTTCACCAGGCACACTGTTAAAAGTCGTCAAGCCTCTATATGGGATCCCTGAATCAGGCAATCATTGGTTCAACACCTACCATAGCCATCATACAGAGAAACTACAAATGGAGACGTCAACCTACGACCCGTGTCTCCTACATTGTATTGACCCTAGCAATGGCTTTGGCATCGTTGGCATGCAGACTGATGATACTCTTATCCTCGCCGACAACGCCTTCGCTAACCGCGAAGAGAAGGAAATTAAGGCTGCCAAGATACAGTGCAAACCTCGCGAACGACTCTCGCCTACAAACCCGCTGAAATTCAACGGTGGCCTCATCTCGGAGACGGCCCAGGGTATTATGCTTAGCCAAGAACGAACCTGCAAGCTTATACAAATCGTGCAAGAGCAACACGCCGATATGACAAGCTCCCGGGGAAAGATCCGCAAGAACGCATCACCAAAAGAACAATACGTATCTCAACGAGCGCTTGGTGCCTATATTGCTTCCTTAACGCAACCGGAAGCCGCATTTGATTATGCCTTCGCAGCACAGAGCACTAATCCGCAGAAAGAGGATATCAAATACCTCAACAAGCGCCTGCAATGGCAAATTGACAACCCATACCGCGGCTTGAAGTTTGTCAAACTTAACATCAACACCATCAAACTATACGCCTTTGTTGACGCGGCATTCGCTAATAATAAAGACCTCTCGTCACAAATCGGATTCGTTATTGTACTTGCCGACGCCTCGAACAACGCGAATATTGTACACTGGTCCTCGGTCAAGTGCAAGCGGATAACACGTAGCGTACTAGCCTCGGAGCTATACGCCATGGTCAACGGCTTTGATTTCGCTGCCTCTATCAAAGCAACAGTTACGCAGATTCTACACCTCGAGAATCCGCTCCCGCTAGTGATCTGCACCGATTCAAAGAGCTTATATGACTGCCTTGTGAAACTTGGTACGACACAAGAAAAACGACTCATGATCGATCTCATGTGTCTCCGCCAGTCATACGAACGTCAAGAGATTACGGAAGTCAAATGGATAGATGGCAATAGCAACCCTGCCGACGCCATGACAAAGAACAAAGCATGCAACGCTTTGCAGATCCTTGTTGATACGAATAAGCTACATATCACTGTCGACGGCTGGGTAGAAAGGTCTACCACGACACCGCAAAATCGCGCGATCAAAGCAAATTCGGTGGCATTCGCAAATCCCCAATAATGTCCCGAATCCTCGTGTCTAACCACATTTTCTTTTGCTTCATTCTTCCCGCATGTACAGAAAGCATTTATGTATTGTTTACTGCACCATTCCCTACACCAATCCGTTTGTTTTATCAACCCGGTGCTGCTCGTTATTTTTCCTATTTTTAGAGAGTTGCCAGTGTCGGAACGTGAATATCAAACCCTACACGTTTTGGCACCGGATATAGTTAGTCTGACGCGGCACGTGCGTGCCGCGTATATCTAGCTAGCTATCCCCGTCCCCCTCGTTCTTGGGGACAAGTCACAATATTAGGAATCAAGATATCTTCATATTGTCAGGCTCATTAGGCCGCTTCGTGTTCGCGCCTTACTACCGTCTATGCTTCGTGATACGGACCGTAGTTAAACCAACAATATCATTGAAACAGATTCAGTATCAAGATCAATTAGCGGCAGACTATTTATCTTTCATGGCTTGTATCAATCCACGAAATATTCCCGAAATCCTCCTTCCTCAGCCAACATCCAGGAAACAGAAAATTGAGGCTCTAGGCCTTTTAAATGCATACTCGTTTATTTATAGCCAAGGCACAGGTTTAGGTATGCACAGACTTGTGCATATTGCGACGCGAAACTGGCTTAGAAAGAATTCATCTTTTAGCCACTGGATCCAACGGGTGGCTGAACATATGCAGAATGTGTTTCCAGATAATCACTACACCAATCGAGGACTTTGGAGGGAATACCTTCCTCATGCATTAGCAATTGTGCATGAAAATGAATTTGTTGTACAAGGGGACAATTACCTTGGGTTGACTGAAAAGATTGCAGGTTGCCTTGCCAGTGATGGAAGATACCAAGAAGCAGAGATACTTTACAAGAAGCTGACGAGGATCAATCAGGACAAAGCTGGCTCAGAACATTCCTCCACTCTGAGAAGCATGGCGAACCTAGCATCAACCTACCGGAATCAGGGTCGATGGAACGAAGCCGAGAAGCTGGAGGTGCAAGTAATGGAGACAAGGAAGACAGTGCTAGGAGCTGAGCATCCCGATACTCTAACCAGCATGGCGAACCTTGCCTTTACTTGGAAATTCCAGGGCAAGCTACAGGATGCCTTGAGTTTAATGGATAAATGCTGTCACCTGCCCAGCAAAGTATTAGGGCCTAGTCACCAGTATTCCAGGTCATTCTCTTGTACTCTCAGTGACTGGATGGATGAGTATAACACCTTACCAAAGCAAACGACGCTCACTAGGAAAGAATGTCCGCAAGCTCTGCGCGAAGTTTCAGCAGGACCTCCAGCAGCTGTGGTAACCGCGCAGTTGGTCCGTGAAGAGCACATCAATCTACCTTATACCCAAAGACGATCGGCTGCTAAATTATTGCTCAGAAACCATCCTCTTATTATCGCTACTAGAACACCCTCGCCCGCGCCTGAAGACCAAGACTTACAAGATGTGGATTAATTTGGCACCGCCATATCCCTGCAACATTCAGCTAGATAACAGGCGATTTAAGGTGTAGGGGTAGCCTAGTGTTCAACTTTCAGCACATGTATAGTATGTGCATATTATTGTATTCTAGCTGATAAGGGAATGCAGAGTATGCAAGCATCTAGGCACAGGAATGAAGTATGTACTGGTAAAGTCTCCAGTCCACGCCACTTAAATCAGTCCATCACAGTAAGATTGGCTTTTTCAGGCCATATTGTATATTTCTAATTACAGAAAGCAGCTTCCTCGGTTATACTTAGCATGTGACAATTTAGCAACATCTTCTATCAGTTATATGATAATACAACTAGGTTGAAGCGGGGAAAACATCCATTCGGGATGAGAATCGCGATGTTGGTGGCTAGCATTAGAACCTGAGCAAGAATAAGGAGGCTAGCTCTCACACAAGCAGATACAGCATTACCACTCAAGGTTGCTTGACGTCTGATGAACTGAGAATGGAAATATCGAACTCGAAAGCATGTCGCAATGCCAATTTAGCTTGGATCCCTCTGGTTGGTGATACTGGTGATGCGAAGCGGGAACCCTTGTCTGGCGAATCATCTTGTGCCGCATTAACTTATTCTATGAATAGTAGCAGATCTTGGGAACCTGTGGAATCAGCCGTTCTTTATTAATTTGAGACATCATTGTTATTCTTGATTCATTCCATTAGCAGTAACCTATTGAAGCAAGAAGTTTCAGAGATAGGAAACCGAATTTGATGGTTGGTTGTCGCTTGTCAAATAACTCTTTGCAGCTATGTTGGTGTTTGATACGTGACTCCATCTGCGGCCACCAAGCATTTGACTAGTGAACCTCACCTTATACTCAAAACCAAAACGTGATGGCTGTCAGCATAAAATGTGCTGAACTTGCACGATATTAAACTGACCGAAAAGAATAAATTCCTTGCCGACTTCGTGATTAACATCACCAAATGCATACAGGGCAATCAATACACTCTTGCAAACGACCACTTTCACAGCAATCATCCGCTGATGCATCACCCGACCAGGCTCACAAAAAGCGAAAAGTCAAGCATCCCAGTGGTTTCCTACTCCCTGCAGCATTTTGGGATAATCTCTCAAAAGTCTGGCTGACACATAACGCACTGCGGGAGCTTGATCGAAGGAATACACAAGTTCCAACCAAGTCGCTCCAGCCAACTCGGTCGTCAAGACCTGTCACTCCCAACGAAGTAAAGGCTATTCAAAGGTTTGCACGTCAGGGTGGCCCAGATTTATCGGAACTACGGGGTGTAAGTTAGCCCAGCTTACCGAACAGCAATTTTTGACTGATTATTACAGTATCCAGAGCCTACAATGAAATCTCACCGACCGTACCGCATCCAAAAACGCAGTGTCAGCGCTTCTCGGGGCTCGAGTGCTTCACGAGGCTCAAGTACTTCGCGAAGCACCAAACCTTCAACCACCAAAAGTAGTACGATCGCGACTTTCAGCAGCATCTTATCGATCATGGGATCTTCCCACACCGTTATCGATTCCCCGAAGGACATATGCCTTCAAAGCCAGGCAATTGGGATAACATACTCGCTAGACTTGCTCGGCCTCGATCCTCACTTTCTCCTTCCAGATTCACTGAAGAAAACTTTGAAGAATTTCTCCAATTGGATACAGATGCTTCGAAGGAGAGACAGGTCGCGGAGAATGTGGTTCCCTTGATTGAAGGCAAAGCTCCAGATGGTAAATGTATAGGTGGTGGTATTCCCTTTAGGAACCTCGATCATCTTACTGATGGCACTCTGGTCCCTGGTAATCCTGATCGCTATCATGGAGCACGCCCGGAGCAACTTGACCGTCAGATACGAATCGAACTCAGTGGTCAGATTGTTCCGTCGACGCAGCATGATCTACCAATAACGCCAAATTTTTTTCTGGCAGCGAAAGGCCCTGATGGGTCAGCATCAGTAGCCAAGAGGCAGGCCTGTTACGATGGTGCATTAGGAGCAAGGGGAATGCATTCGCTTCAAGAATATGGCAAAGATGAACCTGAATTTGATAACAATGCTTATACAATCTCTTCCATATACCATGATGGCACTTTGAAGATGTTCACCAGTCATCCTTCAAAATCAACTACATCAGATCAGACAGAGTACTATATGACTCAGTTACGATCCTTTTCCCATGACAGACAATCCTGACACATTTCGGGAAGGTGCAACCTGGTATCGGAACGGCAGGGACTGGGCAAAGGAGCAAAGAGACGAAGCAATAAGACGAGCAAGTGAGAAAGCTACTCAGAATATCATTAGGTCCAGTGCCGTAAATACGAGCTTCAGCACAGTTTGTGAAGTATCGAGTACCGAGTCAATCGCATCTATGACTGAGCAATCCTATTTCTCGTTCAGCGGCACAAATACAATCGAGACACATTCATTGCAGTCGACACGTTCACTTTCGCCAAAACCATCTCAGGAGGAATAGATTATGTATAGACAGAATGATATATCTGAGCCCTCATGCAAGCAGACCTTGTATATAGAGATTCAGGTGCCTCCGACTTTACGTAAAATAGGTCATCATTAACATCAAGTATTGCATCAGCAAAGTTATCTTCACGCGTTTCAGACGTGGTTATCTTAGACGCTCAAATGCGCAGGTACATGGTGGTCATGTCACTGGGATGGGGGGTTAGTTGGACTGGCAAATAATTATGGCATACATTTTTAGTGCCGTCTAGAATGCATTAGCATATTCCGTACTGTTATATCCAGTATAATGAGTAGCGGAATAAATTCGCCCATCAGATCAGCATCTCGAAGGATTCGTACAGTGCAGCGATTAGCACCCGGCAGAGTGAGCAGGTGTATTGATACGATTAGTCGAGATGCTTTGGCGCGCTATCAAGGCGGCGGTGGAGACGTTAGCTGCCGTGCACGCCCATCACATCTCTAGGAACTTCCGAGGAAAGCACCTAGGGACGGTGCGTTCGTTGCACTTCTCGGCCAATAAGGAGATGAGCGAAATTGCCCCTAGACAAGGTTACGACGCATGCAGTCCACAACACCCATTCTTTTGCATTATGGCAAGGTTCAGCTAATCAGTAGCGTATCGACTAATGCAATCTCGAATTACAAACTCAGCTGGTTTCCGAGAATATCCAGTTAGAATTGTTAATTATACCTAGTATGGCTGCGAGCGACTTTACTCGTTACGCTGTTCTCTGCTGAACATGGCCTTGTATTAGTTTGCTCCTGAGGTCCACTTAAATAAAGCAAGTTCGCTCGTGCTGGCAGCTCGAGAGTCAATTGACTTCTTCTCTCATTATGGATATATCTGAGTTGCTCAATCCCTCGCCGACCTCGTCTGTTGCCTACGCATCAGAGGTAGTCAATCATCCACAACCAGTTGTATACAACCCTCAAGCTGTTGTTAAAGAGTTGTCTCCGATTATAGACCAACAAAAGGCTGACTCACTTAGTAAGTAATATCCAACAAAACATTATCAGTGTCCACTTAGTCTAAGACAGGGACGTTCAATCAAGAATTACGGTTCAAGACTCCGGAAACTATTGAAAAAAGGGACGAACAGAAAGATGAAGAAGGCTTTTTTCCACGATCAACCTACTCAGAACAAGAGTTACTGTTTCTTTGGTATCAATTTATTGATCTCAAAAAGACATGGAAGGAATGCCGTAAGGCTTTCATTGAACAATTTCCAAAGAGACACCCAAGGAAACATTCAATAAAAAACGCTTTTTATCGCTACTTGGACTACAAAGCCCCTAGAAAGCCATACAAAGGGAAAAAAAAAGAAAGAGACGCTCCATCTGTCTTTGATATCTGTGATCGACGTTATTCCTGGATGATGGACCCAAGATCGAAAGTTATAGACCTAATAAAGGATGATCTACTTGGTAAGCAAGCCCCCAAAATGTCATGGATTTTTACTCAGTCTATGACAGGGACATCTACGCGTGGTAGGAAGCCCTTCTTCACAAACGAAATTTTACTGTTTCTTTGGTATTGCCGTATCGATCTCAAATTGGGTTGGACAAGCATTTTCAAGGACTTTGAAACTATATTTCCAGCTTATAACTGTCATAAACTCCCATTACAAAAAGCGCTCTACACCTTCAAGACAAAGGTGCTCAAGGGCGGTGAGTATGGAGAAAACCAGGTTCCATCTGTCTTTGAAATCTGTACGAAACATTATTCCTGGATGAAGACCGGAGGAAATAGAGATATATCTGCCTTGGGTAGTTCCTATATACATCCGAGTTTAGCAGCTTGAAGTGGTCGCTACTTGCTACCCAGTAATATTCCTATATAAAGGGCCTCTGCCTCTACATCCAAGAATATTTTTCCTCACAGACGGCGGAGAAGAATGGGGCCTTGTTCAATCGATACCGTGCGCGATCGGGGAACTTGGAGGTCAGAAAGCTGTAAAGACGATTTTGTATTTGGTGTTTTGAAAGAGATTGGCACCATGGAAATCTTTTATTGAAGTCCGTGATACATTCATCCCATTCCTTGTTGAGATCAACAATATTATACCAGAGAAAGTATAACTCTTCGGATCGGCGACTTTTTCCTGGTAAACTACCAGCAAGGTGCGAGCCCTGCGGAGCTGCTCGTTCACAATCAGACAACTCTGTCATAGACTAAGTAGAAATCTATGATAGTTCTTAGAATCACTTACTAAGTGCATCATCCTTTTCCAGGTCTATGATTGGAGGTGACTTTTCGAAAGCGGAGGAGGTAGGTCGCGGATTGGGTGACTCTGCTATATTGGTAACTTTCGGTTTGGACGATGGCATCCAGGGATAATGTCTCTCGCAGACTTCGAAGACAGATGGGGCCATTTTTTGTAGAATCCGTCTGCGCTTTTTATCCGGGAATTTGCCGTCGAAGTAGCGGTAAAAAAGTCGTTTTATTGAACCCGTGGTTGGAGATTCCTCTGGAAACCTGTTTTTGAAAGCCTCAAGACATTCTTCCCATGTCATTTTGAGATCAATAAAATGATACCAAAGAAACAATAAGTCTTCTTCTGAATATTCACGAGCCGTCCCTGTCTTAAAATAAGTGGAAACCCGCACAGTATTCAGTTAGATTTTACTTACTATGTGAGCCAGCCTTTTGTTGGTCTGTATTTGGAGACAACTCTTTGACAACAGGTTGAGGGTTGTATACAACTGGCTGTGGACTATTGACTTCCTCTGATTCGTAGGCAACAGACGATGTCGGCGAGGGATTGAGCAATTCAGATATATCCATAATGAGAGATGAAGAAGTCAATTGATTTTCGAGCCGCTACAGGAGTGAACTTGCTTTATCTAAGTGAACGTCAGGGGCAAACTAATACAAGGCTATCTAATGTTCAGTGCAACAAATAAAGTCGCCTGCAGTAGTTTTTCGTACCAGTCGTCCGTGCCAGGAATAGATTTCATCATCCTCCATCTTGAATGCAGGCCCATATCCTACCCTCCGGATGACGAGAAATTCTAGAACAAGCAGCATTGAACTAAATCTTTACAAAATTCAGAGCTTTCTTCGACTTCCGGCTGGAGTGATAGCTCTATGAGGTCTTTTTCTGTTCTATGAATAACGTGCCAGACGTAATTAATTCTTCTCGGAAACTGGTTAACTTTGTAATTCAAGTCGATACGCTAGGATAGGGTGGTTCCGCTCATCTCTCTATTGGCTGAGAAATGCAATGAATGCACTGTCCCCCCTAGTAGCCAATTAGATGAAGTGATATTCCCGCCAAATGTTATGCAATTTGGAAGTATTAACCAAGCTAATTTTAGACTAGCTTAGTTTTAACAGTCTATATATTCATTGGGTGATATATTCTTTATCAAGCGGACTTGGCACTATTGCTGCACCATGCCTAGCAGGCATGGTGGAGTTTTCACATGACAAGATTCTAAGCATTTAAAGAGCGCCTTTGCCTTCTTGAATTAATATTCTTAACAGTCAAGTATTCGCAAGAGTCTTATTGAATGTGACCAACATGTCCGCAGGTGCAATTTTAGACCAGTTCTCAAATTTGATCAAGCACATGGAATCTCTGTGTCACAAATTAAGTTCTAAAATACGTCCAAGCAACGAACAGTTGGAGGAATTTCAAACTTTGACCATAAAACTAAAAGCCGCTACAGCAGATATCGAAGTACATGTTACACATCTGTTGGAGAGAGCTGCTCAGAGAGCAGCTCCGACCGAGCAACAATTAAAATTATTAAGCAGCCTTCAGTCCTCAAAACCTGTCGACCAATTAAGTCCCTTTCTTACAACCAGGCTCGGGAAAAATCTTGCTCTTATATTTCGAGGTCCAGATGTGTCGGCTTGGGATTCTGTTAAAGTGAGATCAAGAAGAGATAAAAGCCGAGCTCGATGCGAAAGGCTTCGTGCATATGAGCCCCATTTAATTTTGAAATGGTCAATATCATTTCAGCCTTCCGCATGGATCCAACCTACAATCATGGCGGAAAATACTTTTGATTTCCTTGTCAGGAAATTGGAGACTCAAGAATCCAGCAAAATATCACCTCAGATCGTGAATATCCTACAGTGTTTAAAGCAAGAAGAGCCCTTTAAGAATTGCGACCCATTCCAAGAATTTGTTCGAAAAGCAACGGGGATGGCGACTGGACATCAAGAGCTGGATGCCGCCACGGAACCACGAGCGACGTTGACCAAGCACCAACAGCAAGATGTGGTGCCATACAAGAGGCAGCGTACAACAGAAAGTACGGTATCTAGCGGAATATCCCATTATGATGACAATCATATACAAGAACAAATTGTGATGCCAAACGAGGGGCAGCGTACAGCAAAAAGTGCGGTATCTAGAGGAAAGTCCCCTGATGATGATGACGATGGACAAGAGCAAATTAAGTTCATAAAGCGAAGCAAAGGTAAGTAGTCATAACGCCATTTTATGCACAAAGGATGCTGATAAACAAACAGAAATCACTTATAAAGGATCAGCCATGCCAGCTAATAACCTTCCAGACCTCATTCACCGCCTTCCAGCAGCTATGACGAGCAGCAAGCAATGGAAGTGGGAGCGACAATTGTTCAAGGATAATGCGATGAGATTTGAGAATGGCGTGGACAGAACGAACTGTGTGCATGTTTTTGTCCCCGAGGACCCGAGCCGTGATATATCAATCACTTTAATAGTTGGTTATGATGCTGGATTGGGGTTGATATATGAAGCAGGATTTATTCGTGCCTGAAAATTATTGCTGCTGTATTCTGGTAAGCAGCAATCAACACAACCCGGCATCCGCTTGGCACTTCTGCGGTTTCTTCCTTTAAAGGATCCGATCCATTCTCCCAATGGACAGATTGATTCTGCCTGATAATCTTTATTTTTTCGCCATTTCCCGTTATTGTTCTTTTGTAATCAACCTCCCGAAATAGCATAAAACCCTGTGTTTCGTACTTGCGGTTCTCCTCCGCAACAATCCCAAATTCTTCGGTCATTTCGGATGCTCGTGCTTCACAATTCGCATACGAGGAGATCGACAGTATTTCCGAGGACGTAAAAACAGATCGAGAATCATATCTGTCAAGATCGCGGAAATGGCGTCAGGACAGGTAACACGGAAGAAGAGTCTGGTAGGAGGGGCACGTAACACGTGACAGAAAATTTGGCGGCCTAATCGGGTAGAGACGGCACGTCAGCGACGCAAAGTATGAATTGCGTTCAGGCACATACCTCAGATTCGAAAATAAGTTCATTCTTTAGAGGGGTATCGAGTCACATCGAAATTCTCTGCTAAGAAAATATGTCGCGGCCAACTTCATCAAGCTTAATACGCCCACTTAGATCTGCCCAAATTAGTCCTGACACCAAAGAGGACTGCAAGGAGACCTCACTGTTGCTAGCTGAGTTTCTAGATGGATGAAGCATGCACTAATGGTGATAATTCCTGAAATAAACCACTGAACCGTCACAGTTAATGCTACTACTTTCAGGACTCGTCGAGGTCTGGTGGGTTGATGATGAAGAAAGTCGAAAATCCGCGAAGATGTTGAACTCGTTGTATACTGCTCACAAGTGGCCCAAAGTCGAAAATACTGGATTGTGAAGAAGAGTACCTCAATAGATGTGAGCGCAAGGGCTGATCGGAACAGGATAAGCCAAACTTTACTCGGGAGGTCGTCTAAGAAGAACCTATTCTCTTTCAGCTTGTATTTTATCACTGACATAGGAGGCAAAAACTGACGGTAGTAGTATCAAAAATTTGAATACCGGAAAGATAATGAAACTATTGATTGACCAGTGGTTTTGTTTGATCAAGAAGAGGAACTAGGTGACGTTAGTGATATTAACATCAACTCTAAACAGAAATTGTACCTCGTTTATCGTTGGTAGTAGAAGCAAGAAACCTACTTCTATCGCTAAAATCGGCCTTGAAGGATCTGTATAATGAATTAGCTAGATGAAAAAGGGTTCTTAAAAGATGAATGCTCACCGCCTCGAAAAATGGGTTGATAGACAGCTAAGATCACCGATGCAAGCAAGCCAGTCAAAATCAAAATTCCAACTACAGCCTGGGCGAGAATAATTGGGTTCTGTCTGAGTAAGGCAAGTCAGACTGGGCTGTATCCACTGATCATACGAAGCCAAAGGAAAAAGCTTATCCCAGCAGAGATAGTTGCTCCTATCGACACAACCATTTGAGATATATCAAATGCCGCCATCAGTAGTTTCGCTCATTTTCGTCTTTTACTCCTTTTCCTAGCCACGATCTTTATACTTCTATTTTCTCGAGTTCGACTGTCGAGGAGCATCTTTGTCAATCGTGTAGATCCGGGAGTTATGTGTACATTTAAATATCAATTTCTTGACTGACTCTTACGGATTTTGTCACCGATCTAATGCACATTCAGCGCTGTATCCTAAGATTCCATATCAGCACATAGCTTGTTCACTCTCAAAAGGGCGATCCTGTTAAGAATTCGTAAAGCCCAGCCAAATGAACGGCTTTTACGGTCTATAAGTGCAGAAGGCTAGTTAGCGAACGTATAGAGTACTTATCGTAAATCACCCTACCTAGTTACGTGTCAATGATTTAGCTGCCGGCATTTAAAGCGGATCCTTGTTCCCCAATCACAAAGATCAAGATGAAATCGTGTTTAGCGTATTCTAATCTACACTTAGGCTAAAAATATTATTGGAATTGGCGATTGATTCATGAATCATAAAATCCAGCCGAATGATGGACCGTTACGGTCTAGAACCCGGAACTAAAACCGGGGTACATGAGGCCCGTGCGATGCCGTCTCACAAATCGCTCCACAACCACTTACATCCCCGCTTCCCCGCCGCACAGTCTACTCCACTTGCCAAAGCGCGAAGGAATGTACGACGTCCCTATAGTAGGTTATAACCTTGTTGGTGTATCGTCTTCGCCTTATCTATCTTCGAGTCTCCATCCAGTCGTCTTGTCATATCTATAATCATATGCTAGCTCAAGTCGGCCAGTTAGCCTATTGTCTGCAGCCATAACTAAAGGAACCCTAGATACAATGATATCTTTTTAGTAGGAATACCCTGCCAATGCTTTTGCATATATGTGATAGTCAAGCAGCCCTCACCCATGTTAGATTGTCATCACTTGTAGCCATAATTTGTCACTGGTTATCTTCCTCAATCAACATGTCCATGATCAATCTAATGGCAGGATCAGACATCGACCACTTTAACGATCTAGAGATATATTTTGCTTCTATTGCCTTGCTTCAATAGTAAATAGGTTTCAGATTGACGCTCGCGTCTATTCTAACAGGTACTAGTCCTTGGTGACCATGAAAATGTGATGTTATCAGAGAAGTCAATATATCTATAAAGATGCCAGCCTCGTCCTAAGCTCTCACCGCAATTTGGGCCAGACCACCCAAGGCTACCTGACCGGTTTCAAATTCCTTGCTGAGCCCTAAATGTTATTCATACTAGAATACTACTTGTTTGCGTGTGGCAGCAGGCGAAGAAATGACAAGGCTTCCTTGAAGCCCGATCTGGTAAGCATCATAGTCCCTGAGATTGCTGCTCTCTTGCTTAAGTTGCTAATGCGTCTATGCTTGTGAAGGAAGCAAATTCCCGTGGAAACATAGCCACTTCTGAAAATAGAGATCATCCAAGCCAGGAAGCATCAGGCAGTCCAATATCCGTTTGTCAAAAGCAGCGGTCAAAAATACCACCAATGCAGGATACCAAGTCCAGACCGAGTTCCAAATATTCTCTCTTCCTCTCAGGACGAACCATGCAGATTGAGAGACCTAGAGCGACCGACCGAATTCGACTTAGAGTTTATCTCCGAAGACCAGAAAAGGCAGTTGTGAAGGATCCATCATGGGGTGATCTAGTTCACTCTGAACGGAGCTTTTTTGTTTGAAAAATAATTGATGGCCTATTGGCCCATGGGCCATATTTCCCTGTCATTGTTATTTACAGGGCCTACCACTCATCAACGAAAGTTATTGTATATTGAAATGCATGTATTAATTATTAATGCAAGTGAACACACTAGGGTGTCTTCATAATCTTCTCAGAACGCTAGATATAATATATTCCTCTCACGTTCAAACTTAAGCACTACATATCCTCTATCCACTGGTCAATTTGCTGCTGCACGATGTCGTCACCACCGCCTTTGTCTTTACACCTGATGAATGCATACATGCGAGTAGTGCATGTCGAGACACAGCAATCAAAATCATTTGTGGTTGTGCAGCGGGTGCCTGGCTTTGCGGTTGTCTATTCTGCCATAGATGTTATACCGAAGGTCTAAAAGCTAAGGAAAATAATGCGGTTCATTGGTATATTGAGGCTCCTATTGGATATTGATGATGGGCTAGAGAGAGTGATATTGAGAAGTCTAACTAACTATCTGAGATCCGTGGCGTGCGAGGTTGATGTCCTTGCTACGATCACGCTAGGCCCAATGCGGTACCGACGTCTACCTGTATGGCGGTGGTCCCGTGACCCCCCCCGTAGACGCGGCATGATGAAAATGAAGTTAAAGTACACATAGAAAGGAAACTCGGGAGGCACAACTTGGTGTTGAGAAAATCTCGTAAACCTCACAACCATGAAAAATCAACATGCCTCCACTCCAATTTGATTCCGGAATTTGTCGAATAGCTCCGTCGTGAGCGCCTTTGTAAATCCGTCTGCGGGGTTTTCCTTTGTGTCGATTCTCTTGAGAATAACCTCCCCTTTGTCGATCAAATCCTTCATGAAGTGGTAATGGATGCGTAGCCATCTCACTGCTTGAGCAGTACCGGGTTTGTGCGACGCCGTCATCGCGTTATTGCTGTCGGTGTAAACAACTAGGGGTTCTCCTTTCTTCACCAATCCTAGGCTTATCAGCATATTTTGTATCCATAATCCTTGCCTTATCCCGCTTCCTACTCCCAAGTATTCGGATACGGTCGATGACGGGGCGACGAGGGTTTGCTTTGAAGAGTTCCACGAGATCGGTGATCCGGCGTAGAAAATGATAAATCCCTCGGTGGATTTGCCATCGGGGTGATCGGCGTGTGAGGAATCGACGTACACCTCGAGTCCTTTGCTGGGGTATTTGTTCAACGTGATACCATACTTTTTGGTGCCTTTCAAATAGCGTAGCACTCCCTTTCCGGCGACATAGTCGTACTTTGTGGGATCGTGTTGCTTATGCTGTAAACGGCGTACGGTAAACGTGATATCGGGTCTAGTTTTTGATGTCAACCAGTTAGCCGATCCTGTGATCTTCACAAACTTTTCTTTCTCGTCATCAGTGGCTTTTGGGTCATTTGATTCCAGGGTAAATTTGGGTTCCAAGGGTAGGGAGCGGGGATGGGAATCCGCCATGCTGAAACGGTTGAGAATGCCATCAACGTAGTCCGATTGTTCCAATTTGATCGTATCCTTCTCGCGGTGAACGTTGATGCCAAGAAAACGCTTTGGTTCACCAATTCGCTTAACTCCCCATGCCTTGTCGAAAGTGTCAAGAATCCCATCGATTTGTGCCTCGCACTTGCCTGCAATGAGATTATCATCAACGTAGAGTGCAATGGCCATGCCGTCGCTTTCCCGTATGAAGATGCATGGTTCCTCGTTGATCGGTTTGTAACCCAATTCTTTTAATTTTGAACTTATGGTGTCATACCACAGGACTGCCGATCCACGTAGGCCATACAGTGCTTTTAGTAAAGAGCAAACCATTCCGTCAATAATATCGACACCTTTTGGTTGTTCCACAAGGACCTGGCGTCGCTGCAGCATCGCGTGTAAATACGCAGTAATGATGTCTGCTTGGAAGATTTTGAGGCCGTTCTTGATGCAATAAGTGAGGAAAATCTTCACTCCAACGTCGCTGACCACTGGTGAGTAATTATTCTCGTTATCCTTTACCTCAAAGTTGCCACAAACAACCCATCTTGCTCGGAATTCGGTAACATTTGACTCATCGTCCGCTTTGACGTCGTAAACCCACTTTCCAGGTAAAATCTTTGCACTATTCTTGGGCTTCGGTACTAGCTTCCATGTCTCGTTCGCACGTAGCTTTTCAACTTGGTCCTGCATTGCCTTTTTCCACAGGTCTCGGAGTGGTGATTTAAGCATCTGGCGATCGTTGCCAGGAATCTCCACCTCCCACTTTTTGAGTTTGGGAATAATGTCAGGAATTGCCGAGGCTTGCAAATTTGTGTTGATATTGAGTCGAACCATGGTTTCTGATGTGGAGTGTGTCGAACTAGCTTTTTGTTCTTTCTTTGCACGTCGCTGTTCTTGCTCTCTCTCCTGTTCCTCCATGAGAGTCGACATCAATCTCATCCCTTTGTTCTTTCGTGAAGAAACTCGTGTTGTAATGTTTTTATGAGTCATCTCTTGTACGGGCGTGTCATCATCCATACATGCGGGGGCTTCTTCGTGCATCGAATCGTTGGTATCGTTGTGCTCGATCGACTCATATACGGTTTCCAGACTCGTGATGCCATCAACCAAGGCTTGTTCGTTGTTCATGATTTGAGCTTGCTCCTTGATGAGAGCTTTTTGTTGTGAGATTTTCTTCCGAATTATCTCAAGAGCCTCTTCCGTTGTAGCATCGACTGACCCCTCCGCTTCTGCATCAAAAAATTCTTCTTGATCACTCTCATCCGCGCGATCTTGCTCATGAGTTCGCTCCGGGGTTGTGCTCAGAGTTTCTGCTCTGCCTGTCACGTACGCGTTCTGTTCGAAGTCGTAATAATTGCTGTTCAAGATATCTTCAATTGTGAGATTCTCATCAGCGATTGTGATACGTTTCTGATTCTTCTCGACAGGATCTTTATGGAAGATGATTGTGAGCGGTTTTGACATCTCAACCTTTGTCGTAGTTGGTGTCGGGTCCTCAATCTCATCAATCATGCCGTCTTCTGGACCTTCCCAAAAAGTGACGTCTCGTGAAAATTTGACGTCTCCCGTTGCTGGAAACCAAATCTTGTAAATGTGACCGTGATCGCCCATGTAGCCCATGAGACGTCCGATCTCAGCCTTCGGTAGCATCTTGCGTGCCTTTACACGATCTTCCTCTGGTATGTGCATGTAGGCTTTGCAACCCCATACGCGCAAATGTTCAAGATGGGGAATAGGATTTGGAAATCCTAATTCCTCACGCCATTGTTGTATAGGCGCCTTCTCTTGTCCTGGCTTGACAAGGCGTGCCACTGTATAACACGCTGTCTCCACTGCAAATGGCCACAAATATTCGGGTAGCCCTGCATCAATCATCATTACCCTTGCGATTTGAGCAAGGTAAAACTGAAGCCATTCGATTGGTCCATTTGGTTCGGGGGTTCGTGCTGGAGATTCCCTGAATTGGATGCCAGTTTGATTTTCTTTAGACCATTTGATGAATCTGAAGAATTCTCGCCCTTGATCTTTTGCGATGATCACTGGCCAATTCCCCGTCTGATTTTTGAACTCCGTGCAGTAGTCGATGCATTTATCCGAAGCTTCACCTTTTGTGACGTGGAAACGAACGTCTGGCATACGCGTTTTGTCGTCGAGGAACGCTGTGAAGTAGTTGTACCCGTTAAACCCTGTCGGCTTTATGTGCTGAACGTCGACGTAGACAATCTGTCCGGCTTTCAATGCTTTCGGCAGCGGATCGTGGGACACAATGCGTTTCGATTTCCCGAGTCTGCAGGATTCACAGTGCTTAATCTTTTCTTTGATCGCTTCAAGATCATAAGCCTGAGCTGTGCCCTTACGGATCACGTCGCTGGCATGGCCAAGTCGTCGATGTTGCAACTCTGCTGAGATTGCAGATAGATTAAGCGCTCCAAATTGAAGCTCTTTCCCGGTTGTCATGGTTCTGAGAATTGGGACGCCTCCTACAACTGTAGTATGGCCAATAACTGAATCATCATCCATTCTTCGTACGGTGTAGTCTTTGCTGCAATACCATACTTTGCTCTCATCCTTTGCTCGCTCGCATGCCCAAAGGTTGTATTTCAATCCAGGTACATAGTATGTGCGAGTCAAAAGCTCAGCTGGTCTGTCCTCGCCGTTGTTGAATCGTATGAGTGTTGTGCCATATCCCGTGGCCTTTGCCTCCATGCCGTTGCTGCATTCGTACGTATAGGCTTCATCGTCGTCTTTGTATTTGTAGATTTCCACCCAGCTTGCGAAATCTCCAGCCATGCTGTGTCCAGCGCCAGAGTCGGCAACGAACTTTCCAATAAGGCTTTCTGGTGTGGTCGCTGAGAGTGCCATTGCTAAGGCTTTTGATTTGGGCATATTCTCTTTGTCGATTGGTTGTTCAACGTGCTCTGCGAACGCTTCGGTGTCAATAGCTGCGCCACCAATATTTGGCATAAAGAAATCGGATGAAAGTGCAAAAGACGAGACATTCATAGTTGTAGATGTTTTTGTCGCAGTGTCTCCGTCATTTTTAGTCTCTTGTTGTTTTGGTGCCGCTCTGTCTCTGTAACACCATAAATCCAATTTTGGATACCAATTTGGTGGAGGTGAATCTGCAAGATAATAGCACTTTGAGTAACCATGGCCCTTTATACCACAGTATCCGCAGTTGTTGTCTCTATTTCTCCATTTGCGTAGCTTCTTGAGCCACTCCTCCACCGACACTCCTGGCTTTGGGGCATTCCGCTTTTTCTCGTTAGGGGTATCTGGGTCTCGCTCCTTCCTCTTCTTATCCTCTCTCCCATCAGTTGACTTTGGAGTTGCTGGTGTGGAAGGATTGAAGTTGTTTGCAGCGTTGCCCATACTGAATTTGAGACCTTGGCATTTTTCTAACGCCTCGGAACACAACTGATGAAAATCGTCCATATTTTTGCTCTTCACGTCCTTGTATTGCTCCATCTTGAGTGTGACCCATGTAGGGAGATCCGTCTCAATGGAGTGAAGGAGAGTGATGATGAGTTGACATGGCTGAACACCGAAACCGTCGCGTTCGGCGTCGCTGTGCTTTGCGCGGAGGGCATGGATATATGCCTCACAAGTTGCATATTGATGTCTGTCGCATTTTCTGAAGTCTGTCCAAGCTCGCCAACCGGCTTGTGAATCGGCTTCTCCCTTGCAAATAGTTCGAATTGCTGCCAATAGGTCATCTGCGTAATCAACATTGACAGTTATGGTTTGGACTTTTGTGCCAACGTCTCGACTGAGCGTTGCAGAAAGCCAACCTGCCACTTTGAGTGACAGCTTCTTCCAGATTTTGTAGTGAGCTGACCCAACATGAGGTCGTGGGATGCTCTTGTCGATAAGGTCGAGTAGATCGTTTCCTAAGAGCTCGCGTCGTACGGCTTGATACCATCGATTGTAATCATCTGCTCCTTGTAGGACTTGGATCGGCGTCAAAGTGATGCTTTGGCCGTCCTTTGGGATCTCCGTGGCTTGATCTATCACTGTAGGATGATTCACCACTCCTGTATTTGTGACATGACCTTGTTGACCTGTTTGGCCGTTTCGGTCTGTCTGTCGAGATGAGCCTTGTTGGCCATCGTTCTGGTCACCTTCTCCCCCAGTCATGCTGATAGGGACTTGGTTGTTTGAAAAGGGTGTTGATCCGTGATCAGAGGTTGAGGAATCGTATTGAAACGACCTGTTCAAAAGAAATCCAGGCGCATAACCTGATGATGGGCTAGAGAGAGTGATATTGAGAAGTCTAACTAACTATCTGAGATCCGTGGCGTGCGAGGTTGATGTCCTTGCTACGATCACGCTAGGCCCAATGCGGTACCGACGTCTACCTGTATGGCGGTGGTCCCGTGAGATATCTTATCTTTACTTGCAGATACAAACCCCTTTCTATGTTACTAGAAACGCGAGTCTATGGGTACGGCGAATCAACGCGCATATTGAGAGGTATAGGGAAAATCTGAAACCCGGACAGGAATAGATGGATTATGAATGACAAAATAAATTGGATCGTGTATAAGAATCCCCGCTTAGCACCCTTAGCTATTTATTACATGTCGATTATAGATAGGATGCTTATATAAATGCAATTCTGTTTCTCAAGTCTTTTGTCTATTCACTACCAATTTGTGACAAAGCTACCTCGCGATCAAGGCTTTAATCATGCGTAAACATGCACGCGGAGATATCTGGAAACCTCATGTAAGATTGTCTTCATGATTGTTTGACTAATTCTAATTCTACTAGGTCTGCAGACCCCGTACCTTGAATCACGAACTATTCGTCGATGAGTTTAGTTTCAAGAGCCTTGAGACTAGCCTTAACAAAATCAAGCCCAAAGCAATTTCAGTAGGACGGGGCTTGTTTCTTGTGTATCCCCAAACAAGGGATGAACTGCGGAAAATCGAACAATATTGGGAAGCAATACCACTGTGACAGCCAGCCCTGCGGCTTGACAGCTCTACGGCTTGGCGACGGAGCTTTCCGTACAGTGTCATCCTAGGAGGCTTTTCCCGCTATCTCAAGATAGGGCTTGAGCCCTAAGCAATGCTATATTGGGAGCGGTACTGTATTGGGAAGTTCCGTCCACACAAAGGATCATATGAAGGAGCTGTGCGTAGAGGGGCGCTGTGTTTTTTTCTTCTTTCCTTCTTCATGCTTGTTATTCTTCGTAGATAGGCTCACCTAGTTAGCAACAAATGCAAGGTATTGGCCAGCGTCACAACCACTGGATAGCAAGGACGGGAATTGTCCTTTCCCCGAGTACCATCCGGGAACTGGGTTGGAAGCTCAATTTCTATGGCAGACCTCAGTGTGTACTGCAATACAGACGTATTGTGATACTGGGAAAGAACTGCCCGAATGGATGAAAGAATTGGACAGGGAAATGAAACTGTCGTTAGCGGCAACTGAGAGCCACCTGCGTCAAGCAGCCCACGAAATCGCTGGTGTCACACACTTTCAGCGCCTTAGCCCTCTCTGTGCTGGAAGAAATCTAGAATTGTTGCATGGCAGAATTGGCGGCCCGTGACCTACAAGCGAAGATCTGATGCTATCTATTTCTGTACATTAAGTGCCGCCGGTCTTGATCGGTGCGGTACAACTGGGATTATCATTATTATTACATCCATATATTCATCTATCTATTGCCGTAGACGTCACAGTGTTTATAAATATGGTCAGCCTTGCCGTAACATCTGCTATGCTTTTCTTTCACCTAGCTGAGATGATCATACCGTAGAAGCGCCGGCTCGAACTATCCGGACAGCTGGCCTAGTCTCTTTGACACGAAAAAAACCATGAGAGAGAACTTCCCTCCAATTAAAAGTCTACGGACTCTTTTAACGCCGTACTGGGTGTGCGTTTGCATGTACCCAAGCCTGCAGTTCTGTACGAACGAAACCAGGAACCAGCAGCCTCCCTATCAGATCAGACATCCTCGACGTATGTAATATACAATAGTCGATTAGTTTCATTCCTAACTTCCATGTCTAGTCGAAAATTCCAAGTTGCATGCAAAGGAGCAAGCGGAAAGATGTGGGGATACTTTGCTTTGTCGATATGTGACGTGTGGACATGGCTAAAATAAAGCTTAGTTGGATATAGTACAATATCTAGACTAGCCAAATTATATGCAGAGCTTCGCATTTATGACCCATGCTTAGGAAATTAGTTTTCAGCTGAGCAATTTGGTTTTCATCAATGGTATATTTATATAGTGTATCATCCCCCGTAATCATCCAGCAGCCGCAGGTAAAGCCTACTATTCTTCACTTTCGCTACCAACTTTACGGAGTAGGCGATTTCAAGCTAAATAAGTCCCTGCAACGATGTCATTTCCTATATGCTCTTCTAATCCTATCCACGAAACAGCAGTTGAGAAGTGCTGGCAGCCAGCAAAAGCGAATCGCTCTCGTGGTTTTCCTGGTACGACATTTCAAAAGCAGAATGCAAACTGTCATTACAGCAAACGGGCGGTATGCGATACGTGCCATCAAGCAAGAGTAAACTGCTCTCGTGGTTTTCCTTGTACGACATGTCAAAAGCAGAATGCAAGTTGCCATTATAGCAAACGGGTGGCATGCGATACGTGCCATCAAGCAAAAGTCAAATGCCCCGGTGGTTTTCCTTGTACGGCATGTCAAAAGCGAAATGAAAGCTGGCCGGCATGCGATACGTGCCGTAAAGCAAAAGCGAAATGCTCTCGTGGTTTTCCTTGTACAACATGTCGAAAGCGGAATGCAAACTGTCATTACAGCGAAAGGCGCCGTAAGAGCCCATCATCAGTAATGAAAGAAGTCACCGTCCAGGAAACATCAAGTGCCCCAGCACTGTTTGAGAGCAATCTATCCATCTTACCGTCTGGTCAACCAAATCTGCAAGACCCCGGCATGATGGGACATACCGGAGACGCCATCCATCCGAATTACCTGATGGAAGAGCCTCAGCTCTCAGGAGAGAAATTTATGTACCACTCGGAGCTACCTTATCCCTACGTTGGCGTCAATTGTGATTCAAAGGAGGGTATGGGATAAATGATGCTTATATATTGTAGTATGTCTGTTGTAGGTGTCAAAGCTCTTGACTGTTCTATCGAACTATATTGACATGTAGTAATGTGACGGTGTATTGGAACAACGATAGTGTCACACCTAGCCCACCAATAATTCCTGCTCGTTCTCTCAATGTAATGGCTTTCCCGAGAGAAGTTATATTATTACTATAGAGTCTTGGCTGTGGGCCTTAGAAGAAGAGAAGTGTGTTGAAGGCGGAAGGCGATTCCGAATGTCACTGTAACAAGATTTCGAAGAATTAAGGCATCTATACGGAGTCTGCTGTGAATAGTTGCTTCCCGATCTGACACGGTGTGGACTTTATACTGGCGCCTTACAGTGGAAGGCTCAAGATTTTATTTCCGGGAGTAAAACGGGCATCGAGTGATCGGGTACGATAGTCTTGGGGCAGTACTTTCCATGTCCGCTGGAACATGTCTTTTCCTATTATTCCGCACTAATCCCTATCCCGTTGCCTATTTTGCTGCTCTGTCCGCTCATTTATTATCCTCGATACTCTGGTGGGCTGGGGCCGAGTGGATATTCATTCACCTGGACAATCCTGTTCCGGAGGTCGTATATTTTTCCACAATGCTTCCTAATATCTGCTGAACTGTCTTTTGGATACCATCAATCGCCTGAACCGCAGCAAGGCTGTCGACAGAAGATCATGGCCTTTCTTTTTATCCTTTGCTGTACAATATCTACGGCCATATGTATCCCAACTAGTTCCGCCAAGAATACATTTGCCTCTGGTGTTCTTCCTACACATGCTTGTCTTACAATTAAAAGGCCATATCGAACGGCTAATGCCCCAAATTTCCCATTAATAGCACTACCGTCAGTATATATAACTAGTCCTGATTTTGCTAGATCATTTCGTCATAGATGGCCCTTGCTGTCTCGGCGTCGATAGCTATGGGTCCCTGGTGGTTCCCATCAGGGAAGGGTCCGGAGGGGTATCTCTGTTCCGAATCTCTTGCTTTTTCAGGTCCCGATAATGTTTAGCACTGGTACTTGTTTCATGCTTGCTTGATTGATTGATTATCTAATTAGCGCACTAGCGGGCTATTGGGTTAATCCCTCCTGGCATGATATGATTCAGAAGAGAGTTGTGGATTATTTCTATGAGCATCTTCATTTTCAGGAGTCTCAATAACAGTTAGTATACATACACTGCATCCATCGATTGAAGATACTGTAACAGAACTTACTCTTCTCGCATATCCGTTACACAGTTAATCAGTTCCTCGATACGTGATTTATCGTCTGTGCCTGCTAAGGACACAGATGCGGAAAACCCAGATGATGGTGATGTAGGCCTTAAGTCCTGTCCAATGGCTCTCTGAAGAGGGAAGTCAGGGTCACTTGCGTCCATCGCACTCCAGTACCGATCAAAGTTGTCATTATAAGGTTCATTGATGCCAAGTACATGTACATGTAGTGAGCCTGGAAATTGTTCTGAGTCTTCTGGCCAGGGGAAACAAATTGTATGGGCCATTGTAATTACTCAAACACCACACCAAATAGTGGAATTAGGTTCTTCTTGAGGTCTTTTTTTTCGTGCCATTATGATGAGAGTGTGAGGAACTTTTATATTCATCACAAGTGTTCGTAGTTTTGATGACGCGATACAATTATAAATTGATGACGTGGACTTGTAATTTTCATTACGAGAACTCCGTACAGTATTTTGTCACATGGGCAAAGAAGTCGCAGCCATTGAGTTAGTAAGGCTATGGGCGTTATATGGTGGAACATGGATAACCCGAAGCAAAGGTGACTAGGCGACTAGGCGTAATAGGAGGTTGCTCCAAGAGGCGGGCAGGAGAAATTATCAGTATGGCAGAAACGTTCGGTGTTTTTGAGTCTTTACTAACGAGGGTACAGTTGCTAACATACAGAGACTGGAGCTTGAGAAAAAAAATCGTCTCCACGAATCGACACTCGCTGAATTGTGCTATCAGACTAACAGTAACTCACCTGCCGGTCCTGCCCTACCGGCTCGATCACGTTTCAATTTGCTGGTCTTTTGATATTTAGTTGCCGCCAGCGACGCATTAAACAACTCAAGCGCTATTTTGAGAAGTACTCCTTCGTAAGTCGCTAGTAAGGAGAGAGGTTCACGGAACTACACCGACAACAGACGCGCGGGGAATCCAGTTCCAGGACGGTCAGTTATTACTTCTGGGGAATATGATTACAGCGACAAGAAGAAAATGTTCAAGACGTATGGGCTAAAGGGGTTTTACAGTTGATATCTCTTGTCATGAGACCATGACCACAGTGTGTATGCATGGCAAGTAGCGTATTGAAGCCCTTTAGGCTTGGTGCCTCCGAGCGTAATGAATTGGCTAGGACTACTTGCTTCGACCGATACTAAGAGGAAGTGCACAGAGCGCGAAAATCTTGAGATTCTAACATTCTATCACGCCCCCAAGCTTTTAGAGGCTTAGTGGTTATGGTAGCCTGGACATCATTTGACCTTAACCAAACGGACCCTAACATCGATTAACATCCACTCACTCTATAATTAGTTCTACATGTTTTTTCTAGTTCCAGTGACTTAAAGGCTTTTTGGGAAGTAACAAGAGAGTGGTGTTTGCGCTATTGAGTCTGTGCGTTTCTTTTCATCTCGCTCTGACGATGGTGTCGAAGTTTCTGCCGATGGATTGCTTTCAGGGGTTTCTGGGACCGCAGATAGCTCGGAACGAGGAATGTCATCCGGCGCCGAGTCCAACTCAACTGGCGCTTTCGTACGATGCAAAAAAGGTGAGGTTCTTAAATATCGATATATGCCAAATATAACTGCTCCCACACTGACTGGAAATACAGTTGCTAAAACGATCTTAAGTGTTCTAGAATGTGTACCAGAGACGGGCAGTTTAGAGGCATACGGGTACCAGCTCGGAATAGCTTTCGTGTACGGAGTATTGAAAACGCTCTGCAGGGCCTCGTTGGACCAAACGACCGGCGAAGTATGAAGGGCGCTGCCATTTCCACTTATTAAACTCATGTTAGTGGAGAGGGATATTGGTCTGTAGGTGACATACTTACTTCCCGCCGATTACCTCAATAACTGGCAATGGTACCTCATAACTTGCGTACTCGCTTGGAATATATTCATTTTGGAAATCTAGAGTGTTCAGATTGAAATTCCTCAAGACGGGCAAGCAATGGGTTGGATCCTTGAATTCCCCTCCGACAACAAGCATTTGGTCAGGAAGCACACGGATACATTGATGGCCACTGCGACCATCGTTGTCACTTCCGACATATGCGCGCGTCCATGTAAAAGTGGGCAATGAAAGGATATAAACATCATTAAATGGGGTATGTTCCAGATCGTTGCCATCATAGCCGCCATAAATATAAATATTATGTGAGCTATTATCAGCGGCAGATGCATACACGGAGCAGAATAAAGCGCGGGCAGATGGTATATCGCCGGTCGTATTTTGTGAGTACCTTCACACATGTCAGCGTCCTTTTCATCCTCCGAAACTCCAACACAACATACCAAGTCTTACTCGCAATGTCATAGATTGCAACCTCTTGCATAAAACGAGAATCCGTATTGTTCTGCATAGTCAGACAAGTTCATAGAATATATTTGAAGATACCCTTACGTTTTGCAGCTTCTGGGCATCTGTTAATCCATTAGTGAAGATGACAGATGGTATACTGACGCCACCAATCACAACGAGAATGCCGGAATGAGATACAGGAAGCCATTCAACAACTGCATTAGCTCTTGATGGTATGTTTTCAGGCAGGGTTTGATTAGTCCAATGCTGAGTATCCGTGTCTTCTAACACCACGGAGATGAGAGTGTTTGCACTGTATGCTGCCGAACCGTCATCGTTGGAGATGGGACCCCAGTCATAACCTCTCATCCCCCCAAAGTAGAAACCTAAGCGTTCACTTGGGGCGGATACCCCTGCGCCGTTTGTAACATATCTGGTCATGTTGTCGGGAACCTCTGCATAGTAGAATCCAGGTTGATGCAGGATGCTTGTTGAATTTATGCTATAGCCATAAAAGCTTCGCGATCCAGGTTCTAACGTGCTATTGGACGGACGGAGAAGACCCCTGAAACACAGTAGTCAATGCAAGTCATGCCAGGATCACTTCAAGAATAGTAGTTTACCCATATAGAACAAGTTCATCAGTATTGGTGGCCCACATTACACCATCGATATAATCAAGAGATGAGTTTTGGGGGACCCTGGAAAAGAGCGATGTAAGGTTCGTTGTAATACTGTTGAAAGTTTGAGAAAGGTCAAGTCGGAACAGGGATCCTTCAAAGTTGCCTATAAGCAGAGTTAGTGAATTTCCTCGTTGCCTTACGAAAATCTGTGATAATACCATCATTCTGCACTGTACCATTCTGTCCATTGGAAAATTGGCTGTGTTCATTCGTTAGCACATATAATATTAGACTTGTTGTTGAAGCGTTGAAGCGCACCTAATCCACCACAATTCGCCTCCATCTACGTATATCGCATCTCGAAGTGAACTGGCTTATCATAGTCAATAAGTTAAGACTCGGTGGAACGTAAAGACACCTATAGCAATCGTACCACGAAGCTGAGCCCAATTACAGATTGAGTTTCCCACCTGTCCAATCCATTCAATACAGTAGGCCACTGATAAAAGAGCTGAAATGATTGAGAGCAATCTCATGGTGGGTTGTGATACCCGTGGATAGCTTGGCTTCAGGGTTGTATGTACGACTTCGAGAGAATAAACTACACGAGGACCACAGGAATGGGCACCATCAGCGGGTTGTATATACCCTAATTTTTTTTGTTATGTAATGAAAGCTTAGGACATATTCAAATGATGAGGGTTAGCTTACTCCTATTGATAAATACGTAGGCCAGCACTAATATAGTGGGGAAATTACGTATCAGACCCCTATTTGATCACCCTCGCCCGTGACTTTATGAGAATACACAACAGTACGTACAAAAATAACGATGGACCTATATATTATAATCTGAAATCATCAACCGTAAGTGCCTCCTCCCGATTAATGCTTGGGCCCTTCGCAACATGCCGTTACGGAAACCACCAAGATTCAAAGCAACTACTAAACCTACTACACCCTTTACATGTATCACCTTTGACCAGCTGATAGTATCCGATATTAAACTAAAAGAGGAAGAAGTTGCTTACATTATATCACAAGTATGGTGACGACTGCCTAGTTGTAGTACTGTTGTAGCACAGTTCTAACACGTATACAGGCCATCCAAACACAAAGAGAGCTGAAAATCCCCATCAGTCGTATGAACATCAGTTTGGAGACGTCCGGCAAAGTTCGAGTAACACAGGCGACCTCGACAACTGAAACTTTCATTAGACTCTTGGAAAGACTCAGAACAAAAAGATCCGAGGACGCATCTAACTTTTTAGGGTACCTCCGAGGCATCGAAAAGGAAAAGGGACAACAAAGTGATATTGATATTCCCATAAATTTATTTAATGAATTTTTTGGAAAAAGGCAGCCACTGCAATTGAAACATTTCGATTTGAATACAGTATTGAAGAGAAAGCGAAGAAGTATATGGGCTAGACTCCATTCTGTTAGATCATATCATCGTACCAACAATGCCTAGGATCCAGGTAGTCTCATGTACTGGATGATTTTGTCAAACTAATGCAAAGCGAACGATTATCTGAAGGATACATTTGGTTGCACTCTTCGATGTTTCTTTCAAACCCCAATGCCACCTGGGCAAGACTGAGTAACCGGTTTTGTAGTTATTCGGAAGATTGTTGTTTTTTAAAGTTTGTATTGTATTTTGTGAAGCAATCTATAAACTTACAGTACCTTGTATCAGAATTTATCCGCACTCCTTTAGGATTAATCTATGATATGATGATCAGCAATGAGTCTACAGAGCCCAAATGGCGAAGGCCGCTGGCAGCAGTGAGCGTACAGTCAGATACCTGAGCTCCGCCATGCGCCAATTCAACAGGACGAAGGCACCTCCCAACAGAAGAGGACGGCCATAAACTTTCACGCCGCTAATGACACAAGTTCTCTGTTAATCCTCTACTGAAAATCTTAATTGTTTAAAGCAATTGAACAAAAACGCAGCTTTGCGGGATTGATACTGTACGTACAATCATTTAATTTTAGATCTTTGCTTATACCATCTTGCCTACGGAAATGGGTCTGGATGTGATAAGAGAGTAAGGTTTATAAGGACTTACTTGTTTCCTCTCCGCATATCTGCTAGCACCCTCCCAGGTCGCTAAATTATGTCGTGGTTAGTGGTATCAGATTCTACCAGCCTTTACTCAAGATGGAGTTATATCACATTGACAGGGAATTTAAATCACCTTACTGCCAGCGCCGCCTGCCGCATGTAGTTTGGCACCTCTGGGAGAATGGGATACCAACACTTCCTAGCGACGGCTCCTTTCACCGAAGAGGGACAAGCGTTGGTTAGGGAGCAATACGCACAGCATTGCTTGTTCCAGCTCTCAAGTTATTACCCTGGGTTTTTGAGTGCCCTACTGATACCTCTGTCTTTGATGATTTCTTCGGAGGGTTACTCCATCAATGTGGAAAATGGGAAAAGCCGAAATCCGTTCTTGTCATGGATAAACAGTCTCATTTCGCCACACCGAGAGAATCGTGCATGAAAGCAGGGTCAATTTGCTTCTGTACTCGCCCGATTTGAATCCGAGTAAAAGCTCTTTGCTAAGTCAAAAGTCTTTATTAAATAGCACCGGCAAGGCAAGCTCAGGAAGAAAGCCCAGGCCTTGGCTTTGATTCTAGACTTGGAGGGGCGACGAATAGAGGGATATTTCCAAAACGCCGGCTGTGACCACTGACTTCTTAGCCCTACACAGCTTCAACGGGCTGTGTAAGGGGTTGGGTTGTAAGAGCGTAGTAATTGAACGATATATGGCATCACAGGTTCACTGGTAAACTTGTATGTGAACGTGTATGTGTATTCATGAAGCAGCTATTCGCTGCTTCCCTAAGATATGCCTAAGGCCACGTCTATATACAGGGGCGCGCGCCTTCGCGCTAGCAGGTGCTTACATAATCGCTCCGAGATCACGTGAGGCACGTGATCTATTGGAATCTTTTGGTACTAGTCCGAACGGGGTTAGGCTCTGATAGGAGTTATACAATTTGGGTGAGGAATAATTGACTCTGATTTGCACGTCTTCTAAAACATAGCTAACTACACATCTTGATCCTCTTTATATACACATCATAGTGGCAAAGTATCACGGATTTACGGGATACATGACAATCCTGACTCCAAAATGTAGGCTTGAGTTTGGCTCTCATGTTCTCACGGATATGTCGTTATTCCGAGGAATCATGATTAGTAATGACATCCTGATTAGGATTAGCGTATCAAATATCCAACATGATCCTCCCCTTGTCTGAAGCTATTCGGAAAGCCCATTCGTAACAGGGCTTTACAGGCTGCTTGATTCCGTTTTCCCGATTAGGACGTCCTTTGTTGTATAGTGATTGTGAGGGCCCAATCAAATGTCATTCGGAAGCTAATACGAGAAATCTAAGCATAGGAAAGAAAAGGAAAGAGTGTAAACATGAAGCTATCCCTGGTCCCAGATATCAGTGGCGCGGTCACGTGCCCCAGGTAGCCCCTTCTCGCCCAACCCTAATCACGTGATCTCTGTCCGGTGTCGGAACTAAAACGTAATACCATTTCACCAAAAAGGACGCCCTTAAAGGGAATTTGGTATTTTTGAGGTACTTGCGAACCGTTCCGTAGTTCGACTTCTGTATCCTGCTAGTCACGTGATTTTATTTCCAACATCCGGACCTCTAAGTCAGCAAATCTCACCATCTTCTGTATAGCCTCAGCACCAGCCGTCACAGTGATATTCGTCAAAGAAGCTTGGTGTTTGTCGGCATTATCCTTTGTTGTTGACGACCGTCAGTGCCGCATTAGAAATTAGTGGCGACGAACACCTTGGACAAGGTTGCTGATCTTTGTTAGACTATTACGGTGTTGAATGCAGTTTTGGGCATCGATAGCTCAACCAGATCTTTTCAATTTTGTTAATATACAGACCCGTTATATCAAAACAGCACATAATGTGATGATAATAACTCCATCATGTCTGTCGTAATCCCAACTCCAAGTTGACCACGTTACACAACAGGTTACATACCGTTACAGCACTCACCGCTTCTTCTCTATCGCATGGAACTCGAGTAAGGTTCGCATGACTTCTGGACTGCATTCATAGTTGACCACTATTAGGCAATCCATCTTCCTGTCGCGTCCGAAATCTCCTTTATGAATGAATGATGTTTATTACGCCCGGAGGGACTACTCCTATAACTAACGTAATCGGTAAGCGAGTTGGCCATGTAAGCGAGCTGGCCACCCGTGTTTTCCATACAAACGATCATTGTTCATGACCTCTATATCTCAACAAAGTCATATAAATTCACTAATTTAAGTATTTACAGAGCTGAATATTCATGATAAGTAATTGAACAGAGGTTTTAAAAATATATAAACAAGTAGAGACCGAGTAACTCCAAAGAAAATATATTTTACAATAATTACAGTCGACATTTGGTAATTTTCACGAATATCTATCAGAATAAGTTCAGACTTAGAATCCTCAATATACTCTATATTCTGATCGTTATGAGTTAATTTGATACATACTATACATATAAATTTGTTGAGATACTCCTTGATAGTAGTTTGAGAAGAGTCCCGGAAAATGGACCTAGTTCCTTATACGTATTGTTTCGAGCGAAGGGTCCTTACCGATTACGTTATGGATTTTTTAAAGGATTAGTTACATAATCCTAAAGTTTACGTAATCGCCACGGACCCGTCGCTCTAAACAATACGTATAAGGAACTAGGTCTATTTTCCGGCACTCCTCTCAAACCACTATCTAGGAGTATTGAACCTGTTTTAATATACAAGATTCCATAGAAGTGATATCACCAAAAGTCGACACTTGTGCAAATCGAACTTTCTAGAGATAAGCTGTAAAGTTGATTTGTAATGTTCAATATCGCGTCGGAATGTGATGCCAATTCTCGAAATTTCTTGATACGCAAATATTGTCCTATTCCTAAATTGGTTTAGCTCATTCTGAGTTCCAACACTATTTGTCGAGGATTAGGTAAGCTAAACCTAATCAAGGAAAGCCTACAACATTGATACAAGGAAAATTCGAGAATTAAAGTCACAAGATTGAATCTACGAATCAACTTTACAGCTCTGTGTCGAGAATCTTCTATTTGAGATTGCGTGGATCAGATTCTCAAGCATAAATAGTGTCCAAAAATCCCATCAAGATGTAGATAGAGAAGAGTGCGCAGAATAAGGTCAATATCAATATTTCCACTATAAAGATATCTTTGAGTATTAAGCTTAACTGAGTTTGTGCTAGTGCACAGCAAGTTCCGATACTATTTGTCAACACCGCTCCGCGACCACGCACTTACTCCTGTTTTCCTTTCCTCATGCTTTGTATTCTCGTCGAATAGCTTCTAGATTAGGCATAGCAATGGATTATTATGAGATCTGGCTTGGTACCTTCACACCCTACGTAACGTTGTTACAGAAATGACTGGCAAGATTGTATGTCTTTTTTATTCTCTGTCTCTCCGTGTTCTTATAAACATATTTGGCCTTGTGATTTATGAG